GGAGTCCAGCGGGTAAGGGCAGGGGTTGCCATTATGTACTAGTATAGTCAAAGAAAGCCTCCCTGATATGGTGAAAATTAAACAGAGACTGGAAGGAAGTAGAACAAATCATGCAGACATTGGAGGAAGGAATGTTCTCCCGGAGGGAAGAGCCTCTGTGGTAAGGCCCTGAGGCCGCAACATGGTTGATGCGTCCCAGGAACAGCAAGGAGGCCCATGTGTTTGGAGCAGAGGGAGCAAAAGAGAAATCAGAAATGAGATGGGAGAGAGCGAGCGAGCTGCACACCAGATAAGTTGTTCATGGTCTTCAGCAGAGGAGGGGTGTGGGTGAGAATAGACTTCTAATCCTGTGTGGAGAACAGACTGACCATAGGGGGCAAAAAGTGGAAGCAGGAGACCAGTGTTTTGAAATTATAAGAATTCATGCAAGAGATATTGGTGCTATGGACGACAGTGGCAGCAGTGGTGTGTGATCATGGATATATTCAGAAGCAAATATGTAAAAGTATATTTGGGTATGGGCTGTAAGGAGGTGGCGTTGAGGATAATGCCACTATATTGGGCCCAAGCAGCTGCAGCGGTGGAATTGCTGTTTACGGAGACAGGGGGCACCACATGAGATGCAGATTTTCAAGGACAGCGAAGGGTATAGCAGGGGCCACAGTTTAGAAACGTGGCGTCTGAGCTGCCTGGTGAGCATCTACTTGTAAGTGGAGATATTAAGAACTACTCACAAGTTGCATGTGTGAGTCTGAAATTCAGGGAAGAGGGTCAGGCTGGAGAAATACACTGGAAATTGCTAATATGGAAGTGGAATTTAAACTTGGGCCTGGAGGAGGGCAGATGGCGCATACGGTGAGAAGTGAGCACTGGACCTTCCCAACATTTAGAGATCAAGATGGAGAGGAACAAGGAAAGAATCCTGTGAAGGAGTGAGCAGCCAATGACCTGGAAGAACCAAGAGACCCCACCTGAAGAAAGTGGTTAGTGATCCAATGGGCCACAATTCAAATTGGGCCGTAGAACGGTCATTGGCAACGATGAAAGTGGTTTTGGTGGAATGATGACGGCCAAAGCCTAGGTGAAGTGGGCTTAGGAGAGGTTAGGAAGGGCAATAGTTCTGGGCATGTGATGGAAAAATAAAAGGTCGAGGTGAACATTTGGCAATGTTATGCAACAAGTCTTCTATTTGACTACGGGGAGAAAAATTACTTGTACTACCTGGAGCAGAAACCTGTCTCTCTGGTCATTAATAAATTCATGGAGAGACCTTCTTGCGTCTGCACCTTTAAAGAAAATTGAAATTGACTTAGGTTTAGTTCATTATCCCTCAAAGCTGTATCAAATAAAAGCTATGCAATTAAATTATTGCATGCATTATGTATCTGGACTTACAAAAACAAATTTAATAAGAGTAACTACCATTTATTTTGGGTCCATATTATTCCAGGGGTTTTCTTAGACACTTTAAGTCATCGTTTTATTTAATCCTAACAATAACCCCAATAAGGTCCTATCCGCATCCTGTATGGGAGGTCTTGCAGCTCAGAGATGTAAAGATGCTTGTCCAAGATTACACAGTTGAGGAGGACTATCTTTTAAATGAAAATGCCCAAATACCTCATCTGTAAAGTCAGCAGAAACTGACAACCTGATTTCCATTGCCGACAGAGCCCAGATTGCCTTGGATAATACCAAACAATTTTACTATTTCCTTTCTAAAGCCTACCCTACTCCCTTGACCTTAAGTGACCAGTCGCTCTGTGAGCCATCTGCAACATCACACCTCCTAGCTGCTATCTCAGAGCTGTGAGCGTGGCGGGGATTTTTGAAGTGAGCCATTTTGTGCAGAACTCTTTCTAAAACATGTCATGTGTCATTTAAAATGCTCTTGATGACTCAGGGTTCACCATGAGACTGAGGGGAACTGAAGACATGAGACACAGACTGAACCTACACACCTGCCCTATCAGCGGTCCAGTCACTGAACTCACCCTGTCACCTATCGTTTGCTGCTTTTTCATACAATAGTGCAGAACCTGCACCTCTGAGAGCCTCTAAATAAGTTAACATGCTTCCCTTTCTTACACTAATTATTGAATCCGAAGTTCCTTCTTAAATGGTTTTCTTGTTCTCTGAAAAAAATTTTTTCTTCCCAATTTGAGAAAGTGCCTGGACTTTGTGAGCTAGAGATAGGTTTAAGTTATTAGAGCAAATCCTGAATACTGATTTCCCTTCCTTCCTTCCTCCCTTCCTTCCTTCCTTCCTTCCTTCCTTCCTTCCTTCCTTCCTTCCTTCCTTCTTCCTTCCTCCCTCCTTCTCTTCCTTTCTGCCTTTTTAAATTTAAAATATTGAGTAAGATTTATTTTGGAGGAAGATTTTACCAGTCCATCACCTGGTATTAGTCACTTTAGGCTTGTAAAACTTCAAACTGCTTTGTCTCATTCGTGGGCCCTTCTTGATCTCATAGGTAGGAAATGGCCATGATGTTTTGATCCCCAGACTGCTCTTTTTCACAGACAATAATTAATATCTTGTAGTATTTTAGCATGTTGCCTCCATAGGTCATTAAAACAGGTTATGTCTTTGCAACAAGAGGCAAGCTATTTAATTCTATTAGCTTACTGATTCTGGATATGTGAGTTGTATGGCCCAGACCATCAAAACTTCTCTTTAGAAAGACTTCTCTTAAATTTGGTTCTAGATGTAGATGTAGACCTGATTTTAAATAGTCAGAGCTATTTAACACTATGTGATTTGGGCAGTGACTTCCTTCCTTAGAGCCATGAAAATGAGTAACGGTCTATGTCTTGGGAAAGTATGCTTTCTCATTTAAAATAGATTTTTTTCTCCGGACTCAACCCTCATGTACAACCCCCACCACCGTATTAGGAGACGGCACCCTTTGTGTTTCTCACCTCCAGAAAAGCCACCAAACCTGATATGAATGGGAAATATTCAGAACAATGTTTTTAAACCAACAATCATTTAGACTTACCTTCTGTTATTCTGACAACAAGAGTGGGGTCCAGCCCAAACTTTTCAAACGAGGAAGCAGCTGCATCAGCGAATGCTATTTCACTCAGGTGTGAACGACTCTTCATTCGAGATGAAAACGTCGACTTTTGGTGCAATTTCCTGCTGCGGTTCAGGTCTTTTTCCTGCCCAAGTGGGAAAATTTAAAAAGGTTTCTAACATACGAAAATAACATTGTCTTAAATTAGTGATCATATATAAAAATATCATTTGCAACAAACCTGATACGAGAGGGAAATATTCAGAACAATGAAATATTCAGAAATTTTCCCTTTCTCACTACTGGTACATTGAACAAGCAATCTCAAGTTCTTACCTCTGAAGAACTGTGTTTAGTTTTCAGTTCCTTCTTGCATGAAGCAGAGCACAAGTGTAAAAACATTCAACCTTTACTATAATATAAACGTGTGCATGACAAATAAGAAACTGGAAAATGTTGCTCTGGCTTTTTGTGACAATCTCATGTTGCCCCAAATGTAGGGACTTAAAAATTCCACTGATTTGAAAGGAATGATTCTGTGGAATTGAACATGCTATTTTTTAATGTCGTTAGACATTAAAAAAAATAGCCTCCTGCCCTGGCCGGTTTGGCACAGTGGATAGAGCATCGGCCTGTGGATTCAAGGGTCCCGGGTTAGATTCCGGTCAAGGGCATGTACCTTGGTTGCGGGCACATACCCATGGGGAGTGTGCAGGAGGCAGTTGATCAATGTTTCTCTCTCATCGATGTTTCTAACTATCCCTCTCCCTTCTTCTCTGTAAAAAATCAATAAAATATATTTTTTAAAAATCTTTAAAAAAATAGACTCCTGATTTCATGAATGTTTGTTTTTTTATGTTATTTTTATTTTATTTGTTTTTTTATTTTTATTTTGGATATTTTTAATCAAACTATAGAACACCTACACAAAACCATCACCCTACAGATGATTGATTATTGAGTATTCCTGGATACTTTTCTCATCCTTTATTCCTAAGAATAAGCAAAGCAAACCTTGTGAAATCTGAACCATACGATGTAAGTAGTGATAGTAACTGCAAGGCACACTGCAAAGTGAGCCTCATTGTGATGTAGCTTCATACCAAATAATTCCAAAGTGACACCCTCTTCTCCACTCTTATTTTGTCTTTCTTCCCTGCTCCCCAATGCATACATATACAGGCTCTTATCTGTATCTGCCTGGCAGATTTTGACTTATTCTTAACAATGCTGCTTCTGTTTATCTCCTCAGTGGAATCTTTGCACACACACCACCACCACCACCACCATCACCACCACCATCATCACCATGAACCACCATGCATATATTCATTACCAATCTTCCTTTGCCTACCTCATTTCTATCACCACCATTATACACAATCACCACCACACACTATCATCACCACCACCACCATCACCACCATACACCACCATCACCACCTCTCCCTCTTCTTTCCAACAACCATTTCTTTAGATTTCCTTTGTATGCCTCTATTACTGTATTTTATCAACTCTAAGATGCCACTTATTGTAAGATGCACTATTCTTTTATGCACTGCCAATTATGCATGACATCCCATCTACGTAAGCTGGAGCCCAATTTCAGGAATGAGAAAATATGAAAAAATGTGGCCATTAAAATCAAGGAAATGCCCTAGCCAGGTTGGCTCAGTGAATAGAACATTGGCCTACAGACCAAGGGCCCTGAGTTTGATTCTGGTCAAGGGCACATAACTCCATTGGAGGCTCCTTCCTGGCCCAGGGCCTGGTCAGGGCATGTGCAGGAGGTAACCAATCAATGTCTTTCTCTCACATTGATATTTCTGTCTGTCTTTCCCTCTCTCTTCCATTCTCTCTAAAAATATCCTTGGTGAAGATTAAAAAAAAAGTTGAAAGTATGCTTAATTGTGGACTATGCCTTTGGCATAAATCTAGTGTTCAGACCATTACTACAGTGAAAAGACCTAACATCACCTGGTGGCAATTAATCAATGTGTTTCTCTCGCATCGATATTTCTCTCTGTCTTTTCCTCTCTCTTTCACTCTCTCTAAAACAATGAAAAAGTATCTTCAGGTGAGGATTTAAAAAAATAAAATAAAATAAAATAAAATGAAAGGAAAAGGATTACACCAAACTGTTATTATTGGCAGATCAATGATTTTCTATAAAAAAAATAAATTTAAAAATCAAGGAAGTAGAGTATAGCCATACCTGTCACAGTGGATTGTAGTGGTGTGTCTGTCTTCCACCTTAGGGAGTGATCATTAGGTCCCCACCATGGGCTGGATGCTGTTCTGTCAGGTATGTGTGTGTGTGTGTGTGTGTGTGTGTGTGTGTATGTGTGTGTGTGTGTGTGTGTACCCCCAGCACTGTGTGGTGCACGTGTCAACATCTGACCCAGCAAAGTTCATAAAAGGGATGGATAAGAGGATATGTTTCTAAAATTACCTTTTAAAATCCTAGTTGAGATTTTAATAAATCCTTACCTTCCTCCTTGCTTCTATTTCATTTTCTTTGAAAAGAAAGAGATCTTTGAAAAAGATCTTATATGGCCTTCCCTTTCTGATTGACTGATCGGTTCCTCTATCTATTAAGAAAAAAAAGAAGAAAGAAGGAAAAACTTCTGTCATTTCTCCTCTGCTAACCATCTGGCTCCCACCAACCAGGGGAGAGAGTGGGATCCATGGGAGGAAGGTCCAATCAGCCAGTCGCCTCTCAACTGGATGTGGGGCCTGGATCTGGGGAGCAGGAGCCATAGCCCATCTGTCTGTTTCCCATGGCAGTGAGCACAGTGCTTAGCCATTCATAGGGCATGAGACTATATTTGTGGTGTAAGTAGATAGGGGGCCTGTTACAGGATGGTGGGATCATATTTTGAGATATTATCATGTTGATTCTTCCCATCCCTACAAATACACCCACCATTACCCTTGCACCACTATTTCTGCCACAATAGACATATCCAGAACCCTTATAGAGATCCTCAGGCTAGACCAGAGTCCTAAAAAAAGTCAAAGATAATGAGTGCTGGTGAGGATGTGGAGGACTTGGACCCTCATACACTGCTGGTGGGAGTGCAAAATTGTGCAGCCACTTTGGAAAAGAGTCTGGCAGTTCCCCAAAAAGTTGAACACAGAGCTGCCATATGCTCTAACCATTCCTCTCCTAGCTAATAGTATATACCCAAGAGAAGTCAAAACATTTGTCCACCCAAAAATGTGTACTTGAAGGTTTACAACAGTTAACTTTGCTAAATCATTCACAATTCTTGGCAAAGAAATATAAATTCTTTAGGAAAACAGAGATTGTTCAATACATGCTATTCTACTGTTCTGAAACTTGTGTTTGTTTTATTTTTTTCTAAATTTTTTTTATTAAATCTTTATTGTTCAGATTATTACATTTGTTCCTGTTTTTCCCCCCCATAACTCCCCTAGTTCCCGCCCCACCCTCCGCCCTCACTCCCCACCCTCTGTCCTCATCCATAGGTGCACGATTTTTGTCCAGTCTCTTTCCGCATCTCCCACACCCCTTTCCCCCCAAAGAATAGTCAGTCCAATCCCTTTCTATGTCCCTGATTCTATTATGATCACCAGATTATTTATTCACTTGATTCTTAGATACAATTGTTGATAGATGCATGTTTGTTGTTCATAATTTGTATCTTTACCTTTTCTTCTTCCTCTTCTGACAGGATACCTTTCAGCATTTCATCGAATACTGGTT